GCTGGTGCCGTTCCAGGTCGTGTCCTGTTCTGGTCTCAGTGGGCGCTAAAATCCAGGTTCCTTTCCCTGCAGCCTCCCCTCGGTTGAGTACCTGGAGTGCGACATCGGTCAGACCGAGTTCACGCCGCCCGGCTGCGTGTCGCTGAGTAACGTCACGGAGCCCATTCTCGGTACGTGTGCTGCGGTGCTGACACCCCTTCCATTGCCAGAAGGGGCTTTCTGAAGATGCTGCCACATCTGCCAAAGGGGCACGTATGGAATAGAACCAGGGCTGTTCAGGTTTTCTCCCTGGGACATCTCAGCTCTGTGTGGAAAAGCTCAGTAGTGTGGAGCTGCTCCCTGATGGCTCTTTTTGTTGTGAAGAGAATTGTTTGTCAGGTGGAGCAGCTGTGGCACAGCAAAGGGGATTTTCAGCCTTGCACGTTGAATGATCTCTTGGGGAAGATCTCCCCCCGTTTTGGTATCTGCAGATAAACCTTGCTTAGGAAATACAGAGTGGATCCTCTTAGGCTGGGAGCTGTTCTGGACATAAAGCAGAGCCGCAGCTGGCTGTGGTTGTGGTCTGGTGCGTTGGGGTTGCTGTCTGTAAAGGACATGGCCATGCTGGTGTAACCAGGGGCTCAAACACATGGAGAGAGCCCCAAGCAGCCCACACAGTGGGGTCCTGCAGGGCGCGGAGCGGTTGCTCCAGGGGTGCAGGCTCTGTGAGGGCTGTTAACACGTGCCAGGAGCACGGATTATTTTGGGAGGGATTGCGTGTGGGTGCTGCAGGGATGGGAGTTGTTTGCTCACAGAAAACAGCAGAGCTTTGCCGCTTGCTCTTTCAGGCCCACCGTTCACGCACCAGCAGGCGCCGTGCAAGATGGTGTACTACGGCCAGACGAGCTGCGAGCAGGACACGGAAAGGTACCTGGATGTGGTGAAGTACGTGTTCGGCTGCTACAGGAAGGAAGTGCCCTTGGTCATCAACACCATGGGCTGGGTGAAGGGTGAGCGGCGGCGCCGTGTTCGGAGGTGTCGGGGAGGGAAGGTGGTACCCACAGCGGTGCACTGCCACGCTTGCGGGAGCCAGAAACCACAGCTCTCCCCTGAGCTGGTCCTGGCCCTCCAGAGCAGCACCGTGGTGTTCTCTGCAGGCGAGGGGCTGCTGC